ACGAGGCTTTGAATAAGACAGTCCTCGACACTCTCATCGACGAGTTCGCCGGCCCCGCAGACAAGGGGGTGTACAGCGTATCGGTGCAGCAGACTCTCTACGACATGGGCACTGGCCTCCTCGCCAAGGTTCCCGGCGTGGACAAGATCGAGCTTTACATGGTACGTGCTTGGAGTCCCGTTCACTCATAGATTCGCAGCCGGGATTAACAGTATACCTCGTTGCTTCCCTCTCTTTCCTCCGTGATCGAACGAAGCCAAACATCCACAACATCCCTGTGGACCTCTCAAAATTTCGTATCGAGAATAAGGATCACAGTGGGAAGCCTGACATCTTTCTGCCTATGGACGACCCCCATGGTATGATCAAGGCGATCATCGAGCGGCCTCGAGGAGCGCGTCTGTAGCTTGCGATGTCTTTGGAGAGGCTAATGCAGCACATGCTATGAGACGGGGACGACTTCAGAGTTCAATGCGCCTCGAAAAGAGGTTTTCAAGGTCTAGCCATTGACCAGGCGCATACCAGACAAGATTCCTTCGTGTGGATGACAGGGAAATTTATTAGAAAGTTTTTCATAACAATTGCTATCCTTTCATCCCTCACGAACCAGGGCGTAGGGGCCATCAGCTGGATTTTGTAGATCCGGGACGTGTGCTTGGGCCGGAAATGAAATAAAAAAGGGCACGCATGGGAAGAGTAGTTTCTGGGGACAAAATCAGCATTTCTTTTTGCATCTTCTCTCAATCTTTCATGAGAAATCTAAAACGTATTATGGGCGCTTTTGGTAAAAGCATTACCAAAAAATCTCCGCGGAACTGGTGTCTTGGAGAGGGTCTTCTACCAGTCTTCCTTCCCGCACAGAGATCAGACCAAGCACTGTCAAGGGCCAAAATATTGTTGTGGTCGTGTCGCAGCCATGTTTTGCTGTACTACATGAGCGCTATGTCAAGAAGACCTGTGTAAACTTCACCCATGTTTACCGTTGGGGTAATGTTCGCACCCCCAAAAATAAGAATCTCGTCAAAAATATTCTTTAAATTCGAACGTCGTTGCCCATATGGGACGGCGCACTTCTCTCCCTGTGATCTATTGCATGTCCAGAGGTCACGATTCTAAGCGTGACAGCATGCTCGTGAGAAAGGACAAGAAAGTATTTAAGCATCTTTAACGGCCGTGCGTTAAGTAGTCGTATGCCATGTAGGGAGGTTAATACCTGCCCCTCCTATCTCAACTCACTCTTTCCCCTCAACGCAGCAGCAGAAAGCGCCAACGCTATCATATAATCTTTACAGAAAATGAAAGGGGGAACCGGGCCACTTATTTTGGTCGCACTCTTTAGTTCCCTGGCGTATGGCATCAACTTGTCGAAGTGCTTCATCAGGATAAGCAACCGTACGCGTCCATTCAGGGAAACCATCCGAACGACAACCTCTCAACATGCCCGTGCTGAAAGTGTGGTTGCCTATCATTCATCGAAAATGCAATTGTCATTGTCGTGGTTCAGTGGAAGGAGCGAAAAAAGCAAAGAACCCCGGGTTCTTGTGAGTGAAGGTAATGTTACGAAAAACTTGTGCAATGTGCCGAAGGTCTGCAGAATCCAATTTAAGCGCTTTTCGGTGGTTTAAATCGTTCCTACACTGACTTGATATATTGAAATGTAAAAACATGCAATGCCATTTCTCACCAACATTTGATCCGTGCCCAATTCAATATGAAAGGAATGGAACTGTTTCGTCGAGGGGATGTAGAGGGCTCAATAATGTATTTTGACGAGGCGCTTCTTCTTGGCGGCGCGCAACTTGAGCCTTACCTTTGGCAGCGGGGACTATCACTTTACTACGCTGGACGGTATAGGGAGGGCGCAGAACAATTTCGTGAGTATGGGTGAACTAAGGATTATCATAAGCATGCAAGTGACCCATCTACTCCATTTGGAAACCCCAACCGCAGGCAAAGACGTCGCTGTGAACCCTGCGGACACAGAAGAAGCCATCTGGGCCTTTCTGTGTGAGGCACAGGTTGACGGCTTCGAAGAAGCACGAAGAAAAATGTTGATCGTGCAGACAGACCCTCGTCCTTACATGCGTCGGGCTTACGAGCTTTTCAAAGGCACGTGTTCGGAGGAGGATCTTGCCAAAGAGGGAGCCAACCTGTCATCTCCCGCCGCATTTTATGCCCTATTATACCTGGGGCTATACGCGGAGGCGCGTGATGAGGCCGACAAAGCCCGGAATTACATTCATGCCAGCGTCGCCACGCCCTACGGGAACGCCAATCGCGACTACATGGCTGGCTTAGCACGGGTGCACTTGATCATTCGAAAATGGATCTAAGAGGAACAATTGAAGTCGACGCGCAAATGGGAAAGTCCTTGTCTGCATTTCGAACGGTCTTGAATATTACTGGTGACTCACTCCGGACAATTTCTCTCATTCCTAGTAGCGATGCGATTTACATTCTGTTCTAATAACCATCCCCGAAATTTGAAAAGCACTTGGCCCGTTAAAAATAAGGCTTGATACCAAAGGAAAGAAATGTGGAATACCTCTAAGAGCTTCATTGATTCATAAATCCTTGAACTTTTTCTTTTTCCTCATCGCTATGAGAGCTAGTTTCCCGCAAACGAGTATGAAACAATCCCAAAGTCCGCAGGAGCACTTCTACTCAGTGAAGTACACTCAAACTAAATGATCACGTGGTCCGGGGGGGCGCCGAGGGCTCCGGTGGCTGCTGGCGGGCACAAGCTTCGGTCCCGCCCCTCTCTTTTGATACGTCTACCGCCGCCTCTCGAAGGGGCTGCGCGAATATGTATATTCCAGTTGCTACGCCTAATACAACCGCAAAAATATTCATGTAGTTTGTCTCCGAGCGTGGTCTGAAGCCCCTCAGGCTCTGCCGGCCAAATATCATGTTCTGGGACACACGTTGAAGAGGTGAGCAGAGCAAGCCGTAGTTTTCAGAGCGTCTCAGGTTCTCCCGGCTACGAGTGATGGTCTTGTCCCTATTATAGTATATCCCCCCTTGAGCACAGCTGTTAAGATGGAATATGCTCTTCGTATTGAAGCAAAAATGAAGAACGATTTTTGATGCTAAGCTTATTAATGCTATCTCACATGGGTACTATGCTAACATGCTTCTGGACGCCACTAGCAATGCACAGAAAAGCCAGAAGTGGACCCCTCCTGTGTGCTCGTCCCTGGGAGGACTAGTGTAGAGAAATTTGATACACACAGGATGCCGCTGCCCATTGCTGTCCAGCTTTGGGAGTAGGACGAGCATCACGGACTCTGATGGTAGCTTTCAGCTAACCTCCTGCCTCCAGCCTAGCAGCACTGACAGGTCGCTTCCGAACTCTTCCAACATGCCGATTACCGTTGTAGGGGAGCAACTCACGCAAACAGGAAAAAAAATAACACATATATGTCTCATTGGCATCCAGATGGGAATAATTACATTTGTATGATGCATTTCTACTTCGTGAGATATAGCGGGCCTCACGGATCGGAACGCCTTACGCCTACTATACAAGTGTTCAAATTGACAATTTCTGCGCTGTGGTACATATCTTTCACGTCTTATTGTGGGATCAGGCCTATAGAATTCAGCATAAATGAAAGATTTCAGAGAATTATTTTCTCATGTTCGAAAACGAAGAATTGATCGTTGATACGGGTGCAAGCCTCAAATTCCCTCCATCAACGCGTGCAAGCCGCCGCCAGCCCGATGCTTGGACTAGGTAGACATTCACGAAACCTCCTGAAAACGCGTCTCGATACGTGGCATGACGGATCGCCCGCAGCCCCAGCTCTTTAGCCTCGTCAACTGTCATCTCAGACCGGTAACCTGCGTCCAGAATGCTGTACGCATACGTGCTGCCAGACCCCACAGCAAAAAGTTTGCCCTTGCTACGCACGCCCTCGTTGTCGACGTAGAAAATGCTGAAGCCCTCCTCAGGGTCATAGCCCAATATCATGGTCCCCATGGAGAGTTTCCCCAGGTATCTGAGGGATCGCGTGGGGCAAAAAGAATGAAGAGGAGGAAGAACCAAGCATGCGGACAGGTCAAAAGGCTCTGTCTACTATAGACCACATCACTTCGGCGCCTACGAAAAGGAGGAGGCCCCTCAAACTGCCACGATACCTTGCAATGTTGTTGGCCAGCAGCTTTGAAGCCCGCCTCACGGTTAGCTGATGGCCCTCGTTTTCTACCTCATAAAGCCGGGCCTGTGGCAGAGGGATACCACTCATATGTTCATGAAAGGTGAGAGGAGTTCTGAATTCGCCTGCACCTACCTGCATAGCCAGATGACGAATCCAAAAAGAACAATCCGCGGCACCGCCGGCCATGGTTGCCAAAATGTGCTGGCTCACTGGAAGGACTTTCTCTGTTGCGCGAGAACCGATATAGCTCCCTGTCGAGTAGTTCAGTAATAATATGGCGGTGAAACACTGGGTTTTGAAAGCAAGTAAACTACCATATCTTACCCATGCTAGCTCTGGAGTCTACGGCCACCAGAATGCCATTATCAAAGACAAAGGCGCATGTCGTTGTGCCGTGAAAAATGCTGTCCTCCAACAGCTTGGATTGAGCAATCGCAGTTCCTGAGGTCGTGTCTTTCGCCTGCTGATCTTGGTATGAGGACAGGGCTGCCTGCAAAGATGACCTGATGTCGGCTCCAGCGTCACTACTCCGTAGAGAACATGCTGGACTTGCAGTTATGTATATTACTGTCATGATTTGCGGCAAGAGACCTACTCGTAGTCTCATGGTTCGTTTGTCTCTTCTGGCGCTCCTCAAGAATTCAGTTCTTCTCTTTACGAGATGCACAATTAAATCGGACTGTAGCAATGCAAATTGTTGTAAAGTGAGTGTCTTCCTTCTGATTGGGAAGTTGTTTTGTTTTGTTTTTTTACATGCCAGCAGGAGCTCGCCCTCTTCATGCTTGGCGATCATATGTTACCTTCCTTTGAGGCACAAGTGACCCAAGCCCTAAACCTATCACAGACACACATCGCACCGCTTCGACGACAACGTTGCTCCCTACTCTACCACGAACGTGTCTGCACACATAAAATCCCTCCCGGTAGACTCAGGACTTACTTTGTGCTCCATCCGAGCGAGGGAAGCCTCATGTCTTCGACCGCATCACCTCTTCAGTTCTACTGGGCGAGCATGGGTGCTTATTAATGCTGGAAGAATGAACATGAACCCCTCATGGACGAGCCTTCGATACCCACGTCCTCGGTCAATCACGATGGATTCTCCTCGCGAGCTGCGAAGGCTCAGGTGTCGAGAAGCCAAGATTGCTTTGCAGAAGGGTCGCAAGAGGAGGAGTCATGTAGTGGGATAAGAAGCCATCCATGCTCAAGACCTGCGGAGCAGATTGATGCAAGTGCACCCTTGTCATCCTCGACTATGAAAAGCGAGCGTGTCAGGTACAGTGCACCCCAATTGTGGCACAGAAGCTCGAGGCACCGCACACCTCCCTCGGCGGGCTCGGCATCATCCGCAAGACGCCTCGAGGAGCTCAAGCCGGAGGAGCAAGTATTGCGGTTGCGCGCATCGGAAATATCGGCACTGGCAGGCCTCCATCCTTTCAAAGACGTACTGGAGCTATTAGACCGACACATCTATCAGGATTTGCCTCACCTGCAAGCGGAAGATTGCGCGTCGTGCGGGCTGGTGTTGATGACGAAGGAGGAAGAATTCGAGGAGCTGGTTGGGCTAGCGGGTCCAGAGGCTGCTTTGCTCCGCCAAGTGCACTCAAACAGTTTTTCGGCCGCTGTGCAGACCACACAAGACGTGGATAGACGCAGAAGCGATATAACGGATGTGCTGGAGCGAGTGGCCGCACGAGGGCGAGTTGGCGCGGAGGAGGTGACGCTCTTGCGAAATCATATGACTTACTCCCTGGCCACAGAATACGGCAAGCGGCACGAAGATGCGGGCATTAAGCAGTACGAGGCCACCCATGGCGTCCAAGTCCACAGTCAGAACGACACTTTGCTGGCATGGACGTTCCCTCGAGACCCCACTGCCGTCTCCTGGGACAAGCCCCCTCCTCTGCAGGTCACGCCCCTGAGACCCGAGGCGATGGCGCGCGCGCGCGGTGCCCCCGGCGAGTCAGAGGGTGAGATGCCTGGGAATGGGGAGGCAGGGGGCTCGGATGGAGCAGCTCGTGTCTCGCCTGGACAGGAGAGCCCTCTCGGAACCGATGGCTGCGCGCCGCTTGGAGTCCCCAATGGGCGCTTGGAGGCGCTCGTTTCGGTCCCAGGTGTGTGCCAAGGGCGCGCAAGGAGCCTGCGGGGCCCTGACGCCTGGTTTCGCGTGTGTGGGGTGATGGACGGCCTCACGGAGGCGCTGGACGCGAGCGATGACGACCCGGCCGCGTGGAGGCTCAGGACGACGGTGGTAGAGGTCAAGCACCGCGTCGCCCCCGCGAACGTCCAGGACCCCCCGCCCTTCCACGACACCCTCCAGCTCCTCACCTACATGCTCATGCTCGACGGGGCCCGGGGCGGGGGGGGCGTCCACGTGGGGGGACTTGGTGCAGGTCGCGCGAGGGCAGTGGAGCGGCAGGGGGGGGTCGCAGTCTTGTGGACCAAGGACGGACGATGAGGAGGCGACGGTTACGGCGACCACCCGCATCACTCTGAAGGGGGGACAGCTCGAGCATGGGAAGCTCTACTTTGCCCATGTGGTGCCGCGTCTTTATGCCTATTCTGATCTGGTTTACGCTCTCCGGAATGATGCTGACGCTCGCAGGGCTTTCCTACTTTCTGATGAAGATGCCAAGTGGGATTTGGTATACCGACGTTTGCCATTCCTTCCCGCTTTTCGTCCTCAATTTAATTACGATGCAAAGAAAATATCGAACAATTCAATTCCTGCAAAATCTGACATTAAGAGGCGTGTTCAAACGACGAAAGGGAATGGAAACAGTCAGTGGTCAGCCATACAAAGGAGGGAGGAAAAAGGTGCAAAAGTCTGTTGTGTGCACCAAAAGCAGCAGCAACAACAACGGCCTCAAGGCCAGATAACTCTTCATCACTTTTACGAGCTACGGAGCCAGAGGGGCGTGGTCACGCGCAGTGCCGACAAGAGACACAAGCCATCGCCGATGACATAGTGTCATGGAGTTTTTACCGGCAATCCTATAGGGCTGCAGACAGTAAGGCTTCAGAACTGGGAGATTTATCGAAAGATGGTAAGATACAACCCAAGCTTGAACATTTTCACAGGAAACAATATCCCAAAGTTGTACAGGTTACAGAGCACAGGATTTATGCGAAGGTGCATGCATGTAAACAGAAGAAATATAATTCAGTGTGTGAGTCTCTCGACGGGAAGGTCCTGACATCGTGGGCGGTATGGGCCGAGACCGGGTGATAGCACCACGCACGCGTGGCCCATGCTGCGAGCTGCACCTATTGTTCCATCGCCCCCCGTAGGCAAATTCGTGTTCATGCATTGGTCCTTCGACGAAACGTTTTTGAAATTCAATCAAAAAAGAATTCTAAATAGATCCTCATACGACTTTGGAAACGAATTCTAGGTTCAGCTTGCGTCTTTGCTGAGATTCACAAAAGGCATCCCTTTCGGCCGGGCGTGCATCCCTACATAATATGCACTTCTCAAAGATGCAAGGCCAACCAAACCTCACTCCAGTGGAGCAGGAATTCGTCCGAGAAAGCCAGCGTCAAAAAAATTACGCTAGCGAGCATATACCAGGCGTGATTGAGGTAGCAAATGTGGCAGCTTTGGGGAAGCTCGTTTCGCTTCGCTTCCTGGAGTGGGTATCTGAGCACCCTGCAGGAGTTGTGTCTCTCCCGACAGGTCGCACGCCCGAGATGTTCATTGCTTACCTCAAGCACTTCCGTCAAAATTGGAAAGAGTCCAGTACCCAAGTAGAGCTAAAGCTATATGGTTTGGGCGGTCTGGCCTGCTTCCCTGACACGTCACAGCTCAAGTTCGTTCAGCTTGACGAGTTCTTCCCAATGCACCCTGACCACAAGACCTCGTTCACGCACTACGTCCGCAACCTCTACTTCCCTTTGCTAGATTTAAAACCTGAAAATATATTGACGATGGATTTCGTCAGCGCTGGAGTCCTTCCAGACGACCACAATGCATGCGCCTCGATTTTCGAGAATGGCATTGTCAATGTCGATTTGTTGAGACCCGCGATGGCCGATGAAGAAGTAGAGAAAAGAGACGAAGACAGGAATGACCGATGGAATGCCGCCACAGATGACAAAGCGGTAAAGGACAAAAAGTACGATGTTCAAGTCGCCATACTAGCCAAAGCCCATTCTTTCGCGAAGAAATACGAAGCTCAGGTTCGGGCTTGGGGTGGGATTGGGTTTTGGGTGGGGGGAATCGGGCCAGACGGCCACATAGCCTTCAATATGCCGGGATCATCACACAACAGTCAGACCAGGATCGTGACACTAAATTACCCTACTGCCGCAGCCGCTTCCGGCGATCTAGGTGGCATTGAGTTCTCGCGCCACAAAGCCGCTCTTACTATCGGGCTGGACACCATCACTTTCAATAAGGATGCGGCCCTAATTGTCATGGCCGCCGGAGAAGGCAAGGCCCGCGTGGTAGCTGAGGCCATTGAGAGCCAGCCATCCACGGAGATCCCAGCCACGTGCCTACAATCCCATCCGGGTGCGCGTTTCTATGTTTCCTCAGGGGCAGCAAGCCTTTTGAAGGAGCGTCGCACCGAGACCCTTCATCGAAAGATCATGGAGCGGTCGTTGCTGGACACAGATGTCGATTCAACTTTAGTAGACCTTGCCTTGCGGCTGAACAAGCGGCTCGTAGATCTGAGCGAGGAGGACGTTGGGCAAGATTCCCGTGGCGCCTTGTTGCTGAGGCCATCGACAAGGAAAGGACCGCACGCCTCGCTTCAGACTCTCGTAGAAGGAACAGTCCGCCGCCTTGAAGGCAAAATTTCGCGCGGTACGGTTCTGGCGCGAGGGCGGCGAATCCTACACACCGCCCCGCACCACGACGACATCATGCTCTCCTACCACGCGGCACTCCCCGACCTGATGGCCACCAACACTCACCGATTCGCCTACCTGACGTCCGGGTTCCACGCCGTGACCAACGGCTACATGCTTTCCATACTCCGACCTCCCCACGAGGACGCCGCTTTCCTCCGTGAGAGAGCCAGCCTCATCTTCGAGACTCCCTACCCTCGGGTCGTGGAGGCCTTTGTGGCTGCACACCGGGAGCGGAACACTTGCTTGGAGGCCGAGCTGGAATCCGTGCTGTGCCTTCGACAGATGTCTGCCATCTGGGAGGTGACAAAAGTCGAGGCCCTGCAGCAAGAAGTCGCCGGAGTGGTCGCCTTCTTGACCCAGCAGCTCCCGGGGGACAAGAGCCCCGTCAAAATTCAGCTTCTCAAGGGCGCTATGCGCGAGACCGAGGCTGACCGCATGTGGGCATTGCGAGGCGTTGATCCCTCCCAGGTCAAACACCTCCGCTCCGCCTTCTACACTGACGACTTCTTTACCCCGCTACCAACCATTGAGGAGGACGCCATGCCGATGGTGAGGATGCTGGAAGACTTCAAGCCGGACGTCGTCACAGTCGCCTTCGACCCCGAGGGAACGGGGCCAGACACGCACTACAAAGTCCTTCAAGTAGTCGCACAGGCGACACGCATGTACGAAAGCGCGGATGAAATGGAATCGGTCGCGCGTAGCCCGTCGGGCCTGACCGTCTGGGGGTATCGTAATGTCTGGTTTCGATTCCACATGGCGGAGGCCACCGTGATGGCTCCTGTCAACGACGCAGGTCTAGCAGAGATGAATGACGCGTTTCTCACATGCTTCTCCACCCAGAAATCTGCCTCCTTTCCGGCCCCGGACTACGACGGGCCGTTCTCGCATTGGTCCGAGGCGTCTCAGCGGGCACAACGGCAGCAGCTAGGCGTGGTCTTGGGGGAGGACTTTTTTGTCACTCACCCCGACGCAAGTGTGCGGGCTTCCAGCGGATACGTCTTCCTGAAGGAAATGGATCGCGACGCCTTTTCCAAGACGGCTACGCAACTCCGTGGGCGCATGGAATCTGACAGGGGCATGTGAGGGTGGGAAGGAGTCGGGGAGGGTCCTGGCAGAGCGGCGTCCTCATGATGTGTTGGAGACCTGGAGAGTCGAGAGCTTCCTCGTCACCTGGTTGTCATGTGTGTATAGGTTAAGGGGGCCCACTCAAAGCCATAAAGACGAACACAAACACTAATCTCAACAAAGTCTACTAGCATGCCGTCTGTCCATCTTTATTTCCTTTACCACCGCTTATGGGAAAGGCACTCTTGCTTCCAGGCCTCCATGTCGATCGGGTGAGTCTCGGGGCTTGCTTCCGCGTCCTCTTTCCAGATTTTGACCGTCTTGTCTGCCTCGCACGTTAAAAAGCGGGTCCCGCTCATATCGAAAGCCGAAGCATAGATCCCTGCCTCGCAGTCCAAGGAGCCCGGTTGCACAATCGTCTCCAGCCTCTGAAAGCAATATCCAGTCTGGTAGTCCCAAAAACGAAGGCTTCCATTATCCCCGCATGAGACCAGTACATTGTCCTCATTTATGGCCAGCGTGTTGATGACGGCATTGTGACCACTCAGGTTCTTCAAGAACTTCCCGTCGCGGACTTGCCATTTTTTCAGGTTGTCTTGGGCACCGGAGACGAATGAGAGCTCCTTCGGGTGCACCTTCAGGTCGCGCACAGCTTTTTTGTGGTTCGTGAGGGTAGCCATCGACTTGCCAGCAACGATATCCCAGAGCTTGATCGTGGAATCGTAGGAGCCAGTGATGATCTGCGGGTCCACGGAATTGGTGGCGAGGGCCCCGACTGTGTTGGTGTGCCCGCCCAGCACGTGCACCTGCATCTTGGTGCGCATGTCCCACACGCGTGCCACAGAGTCCCGCCCGCCCGTGACAAGGACATCGAGTGTCGGGTGCAGCGCCAGGCTGTAGACGCCTGAGAGGTGGCCGTGGTAGTGGCGGATGACTTTGTTCTGCTCTAGGTCCCAGCACTTGACGGTCTTATCCTCGGCCACGGAGAACAAATAGGGGTGTCTGTTTGATACCGCCAAGGCGCGCACGGCCGAAATGTGGCCCGTTAAGGTCAGGCGCAAGCCCCCCTCCGCCCCCGCCGCGCACTTGGCCAGATCCCAGACTTTGATGGTTCGATCCGCTGAGCCCGTCACGAACCACTCGTTCGCCGGGTCGAAGGCCACCGCCCGCACCCACCCCAAGTGACCCGCCACCACCGCATGCAGCTTCCACGGCGCGTGCCATGTAGGCGTCGGGACCTTTGCGGGGGTGCGGTGCAAAGCCAGAGCCGAGGAGTTGCCGATGCCGGCGGCTGCTGCGGCCGCTGCGCCTGGGGGAGTTCTCCCGTCCCGCTTGTTCGACCTACTTACCATGGCTCCCCCTGCATCATTCCCTTTGTAAGCCACCACAGCGCCTCTGCTGGCTGCGCGCGAGCCGCCATATTTCCCTCTGTATTGTCGAAGC